GAACACAAACACATTACTTTGAATATATAAGTCAAGTAAGAGGAATAAATAAGTAGGCCTAGATAACAAAACCTAACAAAATCCCATGTGACTACCGTCATAAAGAATTGATTTTAATTAGTGAGAAAGAATGGCTTAATGGGAAAAAGGATGGCATACTTTGTTGACTAACTGGAAAATTGTACCTCACAATTTTTTAAAAACTGCAGATGGATTAAAATGTCAAAGAGTATATAAAGAGCTTTAAAGTTATAAAATAATCATGTATAGATGAAAATAAATATGATTTTGGGACTTCCCTGGTGGTCTAGTGGTTAAGAATTCTCCTGCCAACTCAGGGGACACGGATTTGACCCTTAGCCTGGGAAGATTTCTCATGCCTCTCGGGAACTAAGCGAGTGCGATGCAGCTTCTGAGCCTGCAGGCTCTAGAGCCTGTGCTCTGCAACGAGAAGCCACTGCAATGAGAAGCCCAAACACTGCAACTAGAGAGTAGCCCCTGCTTGCTGCAACTAGAGAAAGCCCACAGGCAGCAACTAAGACCCAGAGCAGGCAAAAATAAGTAATAATAAATAAAATTTTTAAAAAATCTGATTCTTGGTAGATATGCAAAGTAAATAATAAAAATATAAATGTTAATGTATTCAAGTACATAAATATTTTAAAATGTGTTCATAAAAATATCATAAATACATGGTAAAGTAGTAAAAATTTAAAAATAAATAAAAATAAAGAACTGTTCTTATTTATGAAGAAATTTATTTAAAGAATTGATCAAAGAAAATAACTGGTTATTCACCACACACGTTATGAGCACTATAAGGAAATGTCTACATCACAAAAATCAAAGAAATGCATATTAAAATAATAAATAATTTTTCAGATGTAACACTGGCAAAGGTGAAAAAAATGCTCATTTTCAGTATTGGCAAGTGAAGTGAAAGTCGCTCAGTTGTGTCTGACTCTGCGACCCCATGGACTATACAGTCAGTCCATGGAATTCTCCAGTCTAGAATACTGGAGTGGGTAGCCCTTCCCTTCTCTAGGGGTCTTCCCAACCCAGGGATCAAACCCAGATCTCCCACATTGCAGGCAGATTCTTTACCAGCTGAGCCACAAGGGAAGCAAAGGTGGTGGAAAACAAGGATAGTTACAAATTAATTTACTAATGTCAGATAACAGCTTTTTAGAGAGCAATATAGGGTCTTCCCAGGTGGTGCTCATGATAAAAGAATCCTGTTGCAAGGCAGGAGACCTGGGTTTGAAACCCAGATCAGGAAGATCCCCTGGAGAAGGAAATGGCGACCTACTCTAGTATTCTTGCCTAAAAAATTCCATGGATAAGAGGAGTCTGGTGTGCCACAGTCCCCGGGGTCTTAAACAGCCACACACAACTGAATAACTGAGCATATGGATACGCTATAACAAAAACCTTAAAAATATTCACACATTTGAGCCTGCAAGTTCACTTGTAGGAATGTACTCTGAGAAAACAATTTGATATATTAAAAAAGATTTATACTCATTTTTGTTCTTTGTAAAGTTGCTTATGCTGCCATAAAATATTAGGAATAGAAGTATGGTTAAATAAATTATGATCAGGGAAGGAATTTGATATAGCCATGAGAAAGTGAATTGAATATACTATAACTAAAGTTTTATATACATATATATATATATAGTTATACATTTGGAAAAATAGAAGAGTTGCTGGAAGAAAATACATAAAATATTAACAGCAATATGTAGAATTTATTTTTTCTACTTTGCCATATTTTCACATTTTAAATTTCCTTTTTATTCATATATTTTAATATATTCTATACAAAAAACAGAACAAAATATAACAATTAAATGAAATTACCCTATAGCCTTCCCTAATTTCATTCATTTCTCTGGAAGAAATTATGTAGTCCTGTGCATATATCTCTATGAACTTTTTAAATATTAGAAGTGTATTATTATTGTGATCAGAGGTAAATACTATTTTAGTGAGTGTTGATCCAGACAGAAGAGAGTAATATGTATCTTATATCCATAGGTCTAAATATTAAAGGCGGTAACTATGACAAACCATATATAGGGAAACCATATAATTGACTGAAACCTTTTAATGGTATTAGAGAAGATATTTTGTACTATAAGCAGATAGATGACTAACCTTGACTATTCCTACCTCACCACTCCTTAACATACACCTTGGTTGTCATTAAACACTCTTAGAACCTAATAAAACCTTCTAGCAGAGGAAGAGAATACAAACATTTCCAACAATGACAATACACTTTATCAGGAAGAAATATAGTCCCAATCTTAGGGCTTTTGCCTTAAACTCAACAAACTTTTTACATAAATTAGTGTTCATTTTCCTCCCAGTTGCATTGAGATATAATTGACATATAGCACTGTATAAATTTAAAGTATACAGCATAACAATTTGATTTACCTACATCATGAAGTGATTATCACAAGTTTAGTGAACATCCATCATCTTATATAGATAGAAAAATAAAGAAATGGGGAAAAAATTTTCTTGTAATGAGAACTCTTAATGGTTTATTCTCTGAACAACTTTCATATATAACAAACAAGTCTTAATTGTATTTGTCATGTTGTACATTACATTCTTACTTATCTTACAACTCGAAGTTTGTACCCGTTGACTGCCACCACCCAATGCATCCCACCCAAACTCTACCTCTACTAACCATAAATTTGATTTCTTTGTGAGTTTGTTTTTGAAGTATAATTGACCTACAGCACTGTTAGTTTTTATTATACAATATAGTGATCAGATAATCTCTCTACATTTCAAAATGATCACCACAAAGTTACAATATGTCACCATATGAAGATATTACTTATTTATTGACTATATTTCGAACACTGTACATTCCATACCCATGACTTATTTATTTTGCAACTGTAAGTTTGTACCTCTTAATCTCCCTCCTCCAAACCCCCTCCCCTCTGATAATTACGTTTGTTCTCTGTATCTATTATTCTGTTTTCTCTTTTGTTATGTTGGTTCATTGGTTTTGGTTTTTAGGTCCCCATTTAAGTGGAATCATATAGATTGTCTTTCTTTGACTTATTTCACTCAGAATAATACCCTTTAGGTGCATCCATGTGGTAGTAAATCATAAGATTTCACTCTTTTTATGGCTGAGTAATATTTCATTGTATATGTATATATCACAGATGTTTATTTTCCTTGAGATTCTTTATACTTATATTGGTAGGTAGATTACTTGGATCAAATTTTTTTAGATAACATTATTTCTTCAAATACTTTTTTTCTATTCCTTTCTCTCATATCTCCTGAAATATAATCACACATGTACTAGACTCCTTGATATTGTCTCATAGGTCACTGATGTTTTTTTCTGTATTGAATAGTGAAAGCACTATTTCAGTTTGCTTTTCAGGTAATTCTCTTATCTCTTTCATTTCTAGGACTGTTTTTGTTGATTGATTTTCTTCTGGTGAGAATTGTATTTTCCTGCTCACTTGCATGTCTGGTAAATTTTTTTTTTCAATGTATGCAAGATGTTGTAAATTCTCCCTTGTTGGTAGTTGGGCTATATTGTATTCCTTTAAATAGAGTTAAATTTTATTTTGGTGTACATTTAGGTTACTTAAAATTTATTAGGTCTTGCTGAGACTTGCTTTTACGCTTTTCTAGAATGGAAGCCAGGACTTCGCTGGTGGTCTAGTGGCTAAGACCCTAGGCAGGGGCCTGGGTTCCATCTCTGGTCAGGGAACTAGAGGATCCTTTGGTATAGGGCTGATTTAGTCCATCACCTGTGCATGACCCTGCCAAGGATTCTGACCTTTTACTGTAATCTAATGTTTGTTCCACTCTAGCTGATAGAAACTCAAAACTACTCTCACACTTATGTGAGCATCAGGAATTGTTCTACCTACTCCTTTCTGGTGGCTGTTTCTCTGAACTTGGACCATTTTCTCTCAGCTGGCACAAATTAGTACTCAGCCAAAAATGGAAGATTTCCTCTGCAGATCTTGGACTTTTTTTCTGTGCAGGGAGGAGTCTTTCCCTGAAATGCCCTCCTTTTGGGTACTCTACTTTTAAATTGTGACTTTCCCAGTGCCTCAGATAGTAAAGAATCTGCCTGCAATGCAGGAGATGCAGGAGACCTTTCCTACTCCAGGGGATCTTCCCGACCCAGGGATCAAACCCTCATCTCTTGCTTCTCCTGCATTGTCAGGCAGATTCTTTACCATTGTAAATACTACTGTACTACACAACCACTGACAGTTGAATCTGCAGATACAATCATGGATATGGAGTAGTGGTGGTGATTTAGTTGCTAAGTTGTATCTGACTCTATGGATATGGAAGGCTATATAAATTTATATGTGGATTTTTGACTGGGCATGGAGTTGAGACCAGTGACTCTTAGGCTGTTCAAGCGTCAACTATGTATAGTCCTCCCAACACCCTGGTTTTCTAGTTGTTTAACACAAGAGGGTAAATCTAGGTCGGTTGCTTCATCTTGTATACAAGACTAAGTCAACATATATTTTTATGATGGAAAATTAAGCTTGTGAAAAGAGGTATTCCTTTACTAAAATGAACTAAGCTAAGAAAATTACTTAACTTGATCAAAGCCTTAGTTTTCTTGCACATAAAGTATTAATGCTTCCCTACTTTATGATTGGATTGCAATTAGGATCCAATGTGACAGAAGAAATTCTTTGTAAACTGTAAAGCCCTATGCAAATACCAATGTTGAGAACAGTGGTTTGGATGGGGTGATGGAAATATTGCTGACTGTTTCATTTCCATAACTATGCAAAGACTAAGACTATGTTTTAGAAATATTTACTTACAAAAAAAAAATCATGTGAATAATAATAACAACATATGTGGGTCTTATACAGGCACAAACAGCATCCTTATCCAAATGGATTTTAAACAAAGAGAGAGTGTATTTGCTTTTTACTTGGGAAGGCCAAGTGGGCCAAGTACAGCCAAATTTTGCATTTCAATGTTCTCAGTCTCTATGTCTCCAGCTCTCTTGCCTCTGCTCTGCTACCTTCTCAGACTTTCTCCAGGTGGCAGCAAGATGGTCGTTGGCAAGTCGATCTCATATTCCAACAGCTTGGCAAAATGAGTAGACAGAATGAATCTTTCAACAATTGTTCTGGCAGAAAATTTCTGAATCTTATTTGGGTAATTTTCCCTTTTTCTGAATCAATCACTGTGACTAGGAGAAAGTGATGTTCTGATTGACTGGGTCTCTTAAATCAGGGACATTTTATTAGATCCTGAAGATTCAAAACTCAACAGAATATGATCTTTCAGATTTAGTATTTATAAGGCACAATAAGTCACAAAGGAGAGTATTATGAGTTTTACTCAATTAGAGACCAGGGAGAAGGCCACAACATGTTTTACATGTTTTAATGTTTTCATTAGCATCCTTGCTTACTACTATAATACCCTGCGCCACTTTTGCGATGTAGATAAATAGGAAAACAAGCAATAAGAAACAAGCAAGCTTTGCCCAAAGAATCTACATAGCAATGGAAAAATGCTAAATCAAAACACTACATAAATTACATGAATACAAGGGAAAAACAATACTGGCATTGTCTTCTCTCCTGTTCTTAGATAATATAATTAAGTATTTTTTAAATACTATCTACATTGTTGCTTTTTTCATTTGTGCCTTATCTCCAATACTAGACAGTTGTCTACTTGAAGGCACGAAAGATCCTGCATTTTTACCATTGCAGTTTCACAAGTCCCAGAACAATTGTTGCTGTTGAGTTACTGAGTCAAGTCCGACTCTTTTGCGACCCCATGGAAAGTAGCCCGCCAGCCTCCTCCAGCTGGGGGATTTCCCAGGCAAGAATACTGAAGTAGGTTTCCATTGCCTTCTCCAAGGGATCTTCCTGACCCAGGGATCACACCTGCATCTCCTACCTTGGCAGGTGGATTCTTTACCACTGAGTCACCTGGGAAGTCCCCCAGGACAATACCTTACCCACAGTAGGATGTCAATGAGTTACTTGTTGAATGAATGAATAGTTAATGATTTGTGGTGTGTGAGGTATTATTCTAATTATTTTACATGTATTTACTCATGATATCTGATAAGATAGGTTGTACTTATTCCTTATTTTATTAATTGAGGAAATTAATGCACGGAGAGATTGTTACCTGCCCAAGAGCTTGTAATTAAGAACCAGGTTTTGAACCCAGGCAACTTGATTCCAGCCTGCTCTATCTGTTGCCTTAAAAAAAGATACAGAAATAATACTTTAGTAAAGAATAGAAGACAAAAAAAAAAAATCACTCTTGTACATTGTAATAGTCAATAGCCATTGGCCACATATGAAGGAAAGAGAAAACATATACTTAGCTTAGAAATTTTCAAAGCACAAGGGTTTTACCCATTAGTTAGATGAGTCAAATGATGATGAAAGTAAAATCTTTAATGGTGCACTAAGGCAATCACCTGAGTGATTGTTAGTAATATATGAAGGCTGAGAAGTGATTCTTTCTTTGTTATTAGGTAGCCATGTAGAAATTTAAAAAAAAAAATCAGTAACAGATTGCTTCAACTCTTAGTGAAGCAAAGGAACCACATTTTGAATTCATTAGACAACAATTACTTGATTCATACAATAAAGCTATTCCTCACCTATTGAAGAGGAAATGGAAGGTTTTAAGAATAGCAAGAATAATAGCAGTAGCAGCTGGTAAGTACAGGACCACCAAGAAAGCAACCTACGACTCTTGCTTGCAAATACCTCTGAAGTTATTTTTATTTATTTATTTATTTTTGGCTGTGTTGGGTCTTTGTTGCTACTTGAGCCTATCTCTAGTTGAGGCAAGTGGGGTTTCTCTCTAGCTGCAGTGAGGTGCAGGCTTACTGTGATGGCTTCTCTTGTTTGGGAGCACCAGCTCTAGGGTGTGCGAGCTTCAGTAGATGTAGCACATGGGCTCAGTAGTTGTGACTTAGGGGCTTAGTTGCTCTGCGGCATGTGGGATCTTCCTGGACCAAGGATCAGACTCATGTCTCCTGCACTGATAGGTGGATTGATAGGTGGCTCCCACTGAGCCACCACAGAGGACCCTGGAGTTATTTTTATTGCTTGTCTCTTTGGCCTGTGATTATTGTTTTTATGTTAACTCTTATGTTGGAATAACTTGGGTTAAATCTAGCTGATAACCATGGAAAAATTATAATTTGAGTAGTTTCTCTGTGTTACCCTTTTTCTCTCTTTTTCTCTGAGTACTGTCCTAGTTAACACTTGTCTCTAAGTCACTGAAATATAAACTCAAGCTGATATATTAATAAAATTATTTTACTTGTGTTAAAGGGCTTCTCTGATGGCTCAGTGGTAAAGAATCTGCCTGCCAATGCAGGAAACACAGGTTCGATCCCTGGGTAGGGAAGATCCCCTGGAGAAGCAAGTGGCAAGAATACTGGAGTGGACTGGCGGGCTACAGTTCACGGAGTTCTGAAATAGTCAGATATGATTTAGCAACTAAACAACAATAACTTATGTTTAAGGAAGTTTAGAGGTAGGACAATCATCTTTTTGCTCTGGTGCCATAGTAGTAGCTTTACAGACTGATTCTTCTCTTGGTCACAGGATGGCTGCCAGGAGCAACTGCCATCCTTATTCATGGAAAATGGGTAAAAGAGTCTGGCTACCTGTGAGAATATCTTGAGAGATGGAAAGAACATATTACACAAAAATAGATTACTACAGGCCATGAAGTCTTTGATTCAATAATGAATACAACCACAGTTAAATTCATGAACCATAAATTGCAAAGCTACCTAATTAAAAAATTTAATGAAAAACCTGCTGACACAAGATTTTAGAAAGTCTGAAGCACTGGATTAAGTATTAGACTTTTGTTGGGGGCTGGGGAGAGATAATCTTAGAGAAAAAAATGTACATATCTATAGTTAGTCCTTTTATAGTAATCATAAAAGAGTTTCAGCCTATTTTGAGTGAAAAAGCAATTTTCCTATGATACTCAAGTTTACTTTAAAACTTACCTTTTAACGAGTGAGTTGAATTATTGAGACATTATTGAGACAAATTGAGTCGTTCAATTTGTTGTAGAGAATTGTGTTTGTTCCGTCAGCATTGTAAACACTTTGTTCTTCAAGGTTAATTTTGCTTACCAACCTTGTGACGCATACATGATGACCACACTGTTCCTAACGATAAATCAGAAGGTAAGAGTTGAATATTTTCTTATTGAGTCAGAAACATATTTTGAAAGCATTTCTTTTCATGTAATGGAATGCTCAACTAACAATGAAAAAATGTGACTAACAGATTTATTTAAAAACACAACGAAAAATCTTATTTTCCTGTACCTAGAGCTCTTGAGCATGTCACTTATGTTTTATTAGTTGCACACATATACACCACACAATTTTATTAGTACGAGGCTAAAAAATTGTTTTTTTATTAATCTGCTGTACTCTGGTTTGTGACGTCTTGGATAAATGAGATTGCCTTCAACTTTTAGAGTTGGGTTAAATGCTATCAATAATGTAAGGTAGACTTTCAGGGATCTCATCATCTATTTTAGAAAAAAATATCTATCCAAGAGCAATAGATAATTTAAAACTGTTAGTAGTTAACCCCAAATTCTGTGCTGGAGATTTCAGTGTACAGGATATGTTCAAACAAACCATTAGACTCAGTATAAGGTAGAGTCTCCTTGAATCTGAAATTCCCGCCAGTCTAGCAGTTTTGATGAAGGCTCTAAATGGAAATAACTAGTCACGTGTATTTGGCATTAGCATGTAAGTTCATAAACAAAAGAAAGGACTTTGAGAGTTGTATGTTTAACCAGAGTTGATATAAAATAGCAAAGATTAGATTAAAATCTAAAAATTCAAGGGAGAGATTCTGTCAACTCATTCTAAAGACACCGAATAAAAGGACTGTGAACTTTATAAAATAAATACTATAAAATATAAACATGAAATAAATAAATAGTTTATTTCTAGATTCCTGATAATTTTGGTCTCATATCAGTTTATGTCTGTGATGTCATTTTTTAAAAGAAAAATAGGAAAATTTCATACTTCCAGGAGGGAAAAATCCTTTAGCTTAACGTCAAATACTTCAGACTGTCAATCAACAGTGTCAGAAGCTATGGTAAATCAATAATGAATAAAACATATAATCTTTGTTCTCGAAAGTTTGTAATCTAGTGAGGGAGAAAATAATGAGGTATTTAAATTCACAGAAAAGTAGTATTAATAAAAAAGTAAATCACATCTTCTTACAAAAATGTTTACTAATTCCAACGTGGTTTTAAAAATCTAAGGTAATTCTTCTGAGATGTATTTTACTTGCTTAATTTTAGACATGGGCTACACCAGGATATTCTTGAACCTGGGAAGTATTTTACTAGATCAGTCAGTCAGTTCAGTCGCTCAGTCGTGTCTGACTCTGTGACCCCATGGACTGCAGAATGCCAGGCCTCCCTGTCCATCACCAACTCCCGGAGTTTACTCAAATTCATGTCCATTGAGTCAGTGATGCCATCCAACCATCTCAACCTCTGTCAAGTCCAATTCTAAGTGAAGGTCAAATATAATTTGAACTTTTCATTAGGGTTTGCCCTGTCTTTGACATTTTCTTTTAAATGTGAAGTGGTCTTAAAAGAGCTGCAAAGAGTATCTATCCTTGTTATACCCTGTCACAGTCCCCCCAGACATTTGAGTTGGCTAACAAACCAAAGAAATGGAGAAAAAGGAAAATAAGAGAGGTGAGCAAGCACAGATACAGTAAGTGCTTTGAAAAGGATGAAAAAGCCTGTTTTTGCTTTACTTTGTTTTCCTGATGAGAGAAAGAGAAGAAAAACCATTTATTCTTCTGCCCAGATCACATTAAGTCATGAGTCTGTGGTGGAAGGAGGTGAAAATAAAATAAAGAATTCCTGAGTCTCCATCCTGTGCTCTAACCCCTAGACTGCCGCTCCCTGCTTAGTTTTCAGAAATGTATTTCATCCATCCTAACCTTGTTTGATACGTGAAATGAGTTTAAGAAACTTAAAAGTCGTATAAAAATAAAATATGATTTATCAGTCAAAAGAATTTCCTGGTAAGGGTGCACAGCCTTACCTTAGGAACATGCCCCAAACCACAGCATTTCTCTAACGGTGCCTTTTAAAAATTCCTGACCTCCCACCACCTCTGTTCTCACAGATTTTCCCTGTTTTAGCAGTACTCCATTCCATCAAATAGCTTTCAGTGGCATTATTTATTTGGGTAAAAACAACAGGAGCGTCGATGAGGGACTCATCAATTACAACTCAGACAGAAAAATGACTAGAATTATCTGGTTCTGGAGTTACTTTCTTTTTCACTTCATAAAACATCCCCAACATTCATCACACGTCAACTTCCTGATTGCATTTCAACCTGACCATTGTGTTTGTCAGTTCGAATAACTTTTACAGCCCTGTCTCTGTTTGTCTGAAGCTGCTGATGGTGCCTTGGATTTTACCCCTTCGTCTTCTGGCTTCAGCCTGAGAAGCCGGCTTCATCGGCAGTTCCTCCTGCTCTCCCTGGCTGCCATGACACCCTGTGCCCTGAAGTCAGAGCCCTGGAAGAAGAATGCTCTGAGGGGGAAAAGTTGGGGCCCAAGGGCTAAGTGGTAGGTTTGTGGTGAGTTGGGAATGTGCTTCTAGACTGGTCAGAACACCTTAATTGGGGGAATCTGACAAAAGCAGACAACAGCACTGATCTGTGAGTGACTTCAGTAATCTGAGTGGCAACTTAGGGCCTCTGACCTCAATCCTCTCTTCTCTTTAAAAACAGCAGCAATAACAGATAAGATAATGTCCACCTCAGGTGCCTCACTGAGTTTGCCCCAGTACGGTGGCTTAGGGCTAGTGGCCTTGAGTTCAGTTACATAGCCTTGTTCTCCCTACCCTACCCTAAACCAGCCTCCACAAAGGTAGCTGATATCCATGGACAACTATGATAGGAAGGCTCTTGTCTACTGCCCCCACACCACATTTCCTGTTTAAAACAAATACTCACTTTTTACCATTTCTTCCTTTCTTTGATCTGTGAATGTTTTTGTGATAGTTTGGATCCTGGTGGTGTAGAAAGAGTTATCCCAAGGTGTTTCTCTTGCAGGAAAAGATTTAAGACATCTGTGGATGACGCGCTAAGGCAGTCCTTGGCAACCTCGCTTCCATTTCCGGGTTGGCTCATTGTTTACCTAATTGCCAGTAATAATATTTCATTGTGTAAAGAATGTTGGCACCAGGGGCCCAGGTTCCAGTTTATTGATGGCTCAGAGTTTATGAATTGATGCCCTCAGCAGGTTGCTGCCCTGATGAATGGCAATTACTGTGACTCCCACAGAGGCAATTGTAGCCAGAGCATTTACTCCTTTCAAATAATTGCCCCCAAGAAGCTGAACAGGTAATTGTAACATCTGAAAACCATGCTTTTGGCTCAGAATCAAAGAGTATTAATCTCCATAACAGAGGTGTTTTGGAATGACCCAAAAGAGTTGTTAAAGAATGGTCTCCAGAGTGTTTAATTTTAAGATGAATTGGAGCAAACTTAGCAAGAACCCCAGTCCCCCCACCCATGAAAATTAACATGTTGTAAAGACACCCAAGTAACAGATATGGGTGCCCACCTTTTTTAAGTTGTAATACCTTATGGTGATTGGTTGATTTTAGGCTTTACCTAAATTACTTTTCCTTAAAATGCTTTAAGCACTCTGTTCCAGCCAAACTAATCTGCTTATTAACCCCCAAAATGTTACGTGTTCATTCCAGCCACTGAATATTTGTTCAGACCATTCTTTAATACCATTTGATAAATGTTTGCAATGAAAAAATGACAAAAAGAGTAAGTTGTTTGAAATACAATTTAATTTTGCCCCGTGATTTGGGTGAGTTTAGTTAATTACTAAAAGTTCTTTTGTTCAGTTAGTGCTAAAATCTTGGGACCACCCATATGTCTTCTACAGTATCAAAAGGCTATCAAAGTTAGACCTTCTACTCTATTTATTTAGGTGCCATAGGAGAAATGGTAAATACTCACATAGTATAGCTTCTTTGCTTCAACTTAACTTTGAGAAAAATACTGCACCCAATGGGAAAGAAATATAAAGAGAATAACCTATGATGGTTTTTGGAGGACAAAAAGTAAAGAGTAACAAAAAAAGAAGGTAAGTACAGAGACACACCTACAACTTTGAGGTCTTTTGTGTGGAGAGAGAGCCAGAAATAATTACAAGATGTCACTGAGAAAAGGAGGGAAATTACAAAAAAGAAGAAAAGGATCTTTCAAAATAAATAAAGATGTAGAAAGATCATAAACTAGTTTTGAAGTCTGGAATACTTGATGTTTAAACATTTCTTCTCAAATTGTTAGCACTATGTCCAATGTGTTGAAGAGAAAACAGCCAGGTATGCTCTCTTTAAAGGCCATCCAAGCATTATCATTCAAAGTGGCAGGGGGTTAAAAAGTGTGTTCATATCACCATATTCCAGACTGATTAATAATGCCAAGAAGAATGATTAGAAGACTTCAGACTGAATTACAAGTCAGTTCAGAAACACTTGATGATTAGAATGAAAAATATAAAAAAGTGATTGTGAGAATAAATACAGGATAAAACTATGAACATGGGTAAAATTAAATGTGAAGTAATTTTATAAACACATATGCATGCATGCACAAGTGGAAGGACCCAAAGATACCCAAATAAAGTTACAGTCACCCATGGGCAGGGAAGATCCCCTGGAGAAATGAATGGCAACCCACTCCAGTATTCTTGCCTGGTAAATTCCATGGAGAGAGGAGCCCGGCAGGCTACAGTCCATGGGGCTGCAAAGGGTCAGCCACAACTGAACCACTGGACACACACACACACACACATGCAATCCTAGACATAAATTAAGGAACTTAATTTACCGTGAGGTTTCAAGACTTCCCTTCTTATATAATCATGATCTTGTTCTGCCAATTAGATGATTGGAACTGAGAATTTTGTAGGTTCAGAACCAGACATGAATTTTAGAGAGCATGTGTTCCAGACACCTGCCTTAAGGAAGGTAAGTATCTGAACCAAGGATGACAAATGAGTTTTAACTTAGAGGCTAATTCCAGTCCATTTGTAGTTGATTGGCTAGAGCAATGTGTTAAGGTGGCTTCTGAAGTCCAACAGGAAGGAGTACTAAGTCTGATGAGTACAATAGAGTCTGATTTGCTCAGGATCAGGAATAAGAATCAGGCATGTATAAGGGTAGAGGCTGACTGGAATGTCATGCATTAGTCCTTCTCAGTCTAAACCGTTTGGGTCTGAGGAAGCTAGCATACAATATGTGTGTGCATGCTAAGTCGCTTCCGTTGTATGCGATCTTTGTGACCCCATGGATGGTAGCCCACTGGGCTTCTCTGTCCATGGGATTCTCCAAGCAAGAATACTGGAGTGGGTTGCCTTGTCCTCCTCCATCTTCCCATCCTCTTCCTCTCCCCATCCCTCCTCTTCCCATCTCAGGGATCAAACCCACATCTCTCCTGTCTCCTGCATTTGCAGGCGGTTCTTTGCCACTAAACTCTCTGGGAAGCCCCAACATACATTACAGATACTCAGTCAATAGGTATTCTAGGGTATAATTACATGGTGCAGATATATTTAACTTGCATTTTCTTTGACCAAAATTGTCTTTTATGTCCTGAGAAAATCTAAAAGTTTTTTTTTTTTTTTTGCCACAAAATCTTTGCCCTTCATTCCTTTAAGATTAAGGAGTTTTAGAAAAAAAAAAAGAAGAAGGGGAAGGTACAGAAGCAAGAGACATGTACTTTTAAAAATTTTTTAAAATTTATTTTCTTCAAGTATAGTTTTGGGTTTCCCTGGTGGCTCAGACAATAAAGAATCTGTCAGTAATGCAGGAGACCTGGGTTCCATCTCTGGGTTAGGATGATCCCCTAGAGGAGGAAATGGCAACCCACTTCAGTATTCTTGCCTGAAAAATGCCATGGACAGAGGGCCCTGGTGGGCTACAGTCCATGGGTTTGCAAAGAATCAGACATGACTGAGAGATTAACACTGTCACATTTTCTTTCATAGTTTATTTATAATGTTTTGCTAATTTCTTCTGTAAAGAGATTCAGTTACATACATTCTTTTCACATTCCTTCCCATTATGGTTTATCACTGGCATAGTGGATATAGTTCCTTGTGCTAAATAGTAGGACCTTGTTGTTTATCCATCCCCTGTAAAATAGTTTGCATCTGCTAATCCCCAATTCCCAACCCGCCTCTTCTACCTGCTCTCTCCCTGGGCAACCACACGTCTGTTCTTTAAGAGATACCTGTTCTTTAAGTGAATGACAAGTCATGTTAGTGGCTATTCTTTATCCCATTCTCTTGTTATTCAGATAGCTACATAGCCTAAGACCTCAGTCTGGTTCATCATTTCTTCCATAACTAATTCTACAAAGTGCTCAGGAAAGCCATGCAACCATAAATGGTAATTATAATCAATTATCTTAATTGTACACTATTTATACCGTATACCAACTATTTATACCTAATGAACCAACAAAAATTATTCATACTAAAGATGTGTCCGATTCATTTTGTGGTATTCTTTGTATAATCAAAACAAGGAACTCTGTTGGTTCTAACTCATTTTTCTATGTGCTGTCTATCTTCCCAATTGGATTATCATCTCTTCATGGCCAAGGATGCACTTTTTATTTTTCAAATCTCACATAAAAACAGAGACATGAAATGAGCACCCAGCATCCATTCAATAAACACCAGATGATTTATTTGGTTATGAATGAATGAAACTATCCACAGAGAATGTGGTGCAAAACTGTTAAACGAATATTTCAAATTTATCCCGAGTTGTTAGCTATGGAAAAAATTAACCATCAGCTTAAGAAAGACACACCAAAATATTCTTGGTACACCCTATTTCTGTTAAAGATATTTCTTCAATCAAAAACACTAATGTTGGATGAGTAGTGTGGTACGCATCTAACTTTGAAGAGCTACCGTAGGAAAATAAGAAAGAAAAAAAAACCCTCTCAATTTTAAAGCAACGTTCTCAAACTTCTGTTGAAATGATTCATACTTCATTACCTACTACGATTGGGTCATATGTTTTTTTACTACAATTATTTCCACAAATGTGAAGAAATATATTTCATGTTTTCCCACTGAAATTCAACTTCGCTTATTAATGTAGAATTATCACCAGATTAAAACTCAGAATCTAAAACAGTTGGGTAATTTGTACAAATTCTGTTATTAAAATCTGCCTATGGAATCACTTTGGCAGAAGTTAACTCAACCAGTTAAAACAATAACTTATGGGAGAGCTGTCAGAAAAGATGAGAACCCAAATTACATACATGCAGCATAAATATATAGTATGTAAGCTGACGCTGGAACTGGTAAGTTTCATGAGTCTTATTATCTAAGAAAATTAAAGGAAGAACACTGCATTCTTTCTCTGACTTATACTTGGTCTAACAGTGATTGTTGCTGCTGATAGACTAAGAATATATGCTATTCCCCCGGAGAATGATAACCTCTTCCTTTCCATCCTAGAAATCTGCTAAATCTCTTCTGATGTTAGAGAAAGATTCACAAACTACATATTTAGCTTTTGGTATTTCCTATTGTTATTTATAGTTTCATGCATATTTTCTGTCTTCCCAATTCAACTGAAACTTTTCTTACAGAGAAAGCTGGCATTTTTCTTTGTCTTCTCATCCACTCTGTCCCAGTGTTTTGAACAAGGCTTAAGAATTTTTGAAGAAAGCTAATGAAGGATGAGACATAGCAAGTGAACTCATCTTTTAAAATGTATTTCTAATGAAAATAATGACTTTTTTTTTTAAACTGTTAACTTAGTCAAATATGTCAAACTGTTGTCTATCTAGAAATGTGACTCAGGGTAAGATTAAATCATAGTATAATGGCACAAATTCTAGATCATACTAGTGGTACATCCCACAGAACATACGCTGCTTGGCTGTTCGAACACATCCAACTGTTGTATGTGCATGCATACTCGGTTGCTCAGTTGTGTCCAACTCTTTGTGACCCCGTGGACTGTAGCCTGCCAGGCTCCTCTGTCCATGAGATCTCCCAGGGAAGAACACTGGAGTGGTTGCT